TAAGTAGTGATGTAACGAATTTTTGGATGGATTATCGATGAAAACCGAGGTATCACAATACAAACTTCTGATGCAAATCAAAAGTCATGTTATTTCAATTAAAAAATTTTCCTGAAAGGTGTTCGATAGATGACTGACATGACTCTATTGTTAAAAGAAAAGTATGGTATAAAGGGGAAAGCCACTACTAATTTGAGGCAGAGAGCATATATTTTAAGTTAAATAAATTAAAAATATAATTAAAAGTTGCAACCCGGCATTGTGACAATGTTGCAATAAATAATTGTTTGTCTAAATATATAATACTATAAATTTAGATTAGATAAATTTAAATACTTTTGGAACTAGAATTTCTTAAAAATTCTAGTTCCAAAAGCCCATGGATATAATCTTAGATACCAGATATATTTTTAGTCATCATTTTCATAGACAACTTTTGACTCAGTTTTGGAGATGATATCTCTGAAGTGAAGGCTAGAGAATGCAGACTCTATCCACGTGACAGATTAGTTCATTGTTATGGTAAAAAAGATAGTATTCTCTTCTTGAGAATTTCACTGCCCACAGTAAAATAACACAGACGAGAAGACAGTCAAATTAGGAAATTGTTTTGACACATTTCCACTATTCTCAATGAATCTGAAGAATATAATAAAGAATAAGACTTTGAAAATAATGAAGTTGAAGACAAATAGAATGAAAATAATATTAAGGTAAGGTATTGGAATGCAGCAATAAAGAAACTTATGAATATATTATGATTTCTCTTGTTGATAAATGATGTAATTTTTATTAATAAATAAGTTTTCAAAAGTAAAACATGACAGGTTATTTTGCTATGAGTATTTACTCTTGTTTAGTTTCCATAATTAAGGCCAGAGTTTATTTACAGAAAATGCAATGGAATTAATGACAGAGAAATAAGATGCATGGCACTAGATGTTGCTAATTATGATATATTATATTGAATCTAAGATGTACTCTATTCTCAGAGATATTAAAACATGAAAAAAGTGCATCTTATATTTGAGTAAATACATTTTACTTTGATGTTTAATTTTTTGCATACTAATTCCTAAATTTTACATATTTTATTTATAGAATGTGTANATACAAACTTCTGATGCAAATCAAAAGTCATGTTATTTCAATTAAAAAATTTTCCTGAAAGGTGTTCGATAGATGACTGGCATGACTCTATTGTTAAAAGAAAAGTATGGTATAAAGGGGAAAGCCACTACTAATTTGAGGCAGAGAACATATATTTTAAGTTAAATAAATTAAAAATATGATTAAAAATTGCAGCCTGGGCATTGTGATGATGTTGCAATAAATAATTGCTCATTCAGTATTAACTGTTTTTTAAAGTAAATTCTTCTCAGAATCAATCATTATGTACAAGATATTTTGCTAGGCACATACCTGAACTGACTTATTCCAATTCAAAAAAGATAATTTGAAGGCAGTTATTTCTTCATATAACACAACTTTCAACAAGTGGAATTATACAACGAAATAACTGCCTTCAAATTAATTGCATTCAAATTATCAAAACTGTACTAGATACACAAAATAAATGTAAACATAACCAATTTACAAACGTTTTCAGATAAAATTTCATGTCAAACTATTGCATCATCTAAATGAATTGATATTTGTGATTTTCTACATATTAGAAAATTAATGAATATTTTAATTAGATTTAATCAAATGATATAACAGATTATGATTAATACTAATAATCATAAGTTAATTAGTAGACCTATGTAAAAACATTCCTAACTCATGCTATGTGGGAATGCAATTAAATATTTTATGAATTATATGACTATATAACTTATAAAATCTAAATTACAAAATTGTTTAAAACTTTTCTGCTATTTTTTTCCACTTAAATAATTTTTTATGCTTGCTAACCAAACATATCCTTTGCATTCTTCTTTATAAACATCAGGAATAAGACAATCTTGGCCCAGAGATTGAACTTCAACCATTTTTACTGAAGTTCTTCCAAATAATTTTTCTTCATACTTAACTAACTGATTAAAAAAATTGGTATTTGGCCTTACTACTGGTCGGTGTGACTTTAAGAAATGAAATGCTTCTTTCAATGACATCTTCTGATATTTCATTAAATATGCTATATAAAATAAAATTATTTATTAATTTAAGAAGCATAAAAATATAAATTTTAATTTCATCATAAACAAATTTAATAACTTGAAGAACCATTTCTCATTGAAAAGTTTATTTACCAATGCATAATGTAGCTGAACGACTTGCACCAGCTATACAATGAACAAGAATTTTTCCTCCCTTTTTATATTCTTCATAAATGTTATCCGCAACTATATCAAAATAAGGATACAAATTTGCAGAAAGAGAATCNATGTTTGCTATCAGCAATGTTATAAAACATAAAACAGTTAAAAAGTTAATTACTAAATTCTTAAATTAAATTGTTAATAGAATATTTTAGTACTTATTATATTTGCAAAGCTAAATACAGGAATGATGCAGTGGTGCCTCACTGCATCATTCCTGTTATCTTCATTTTCCCAAACATATTGTCTGATTTATTTAATGGGTTGGTTCCAGGACCAATAGCACTATTTTTTTCTGCCTTCATCCATTCTCAACAAATTATTTTATTGCATCAGTCCTTGAAAAATCAGTCTTAATCAACATTTTCCTACATTAATAGTTTTTTTTTAAATTTAGAATGATTTAGTAGCTCAGCAAAATGAATGCATGACAATCTTGAGTGAATTAAAAAAATTGATGCTACCAGCATGTGCGTTGCTTTTTTAATGCTGCATGTTGAAAATTGAGCTTTCATCAGCTGCCCTTCATTACAGTATATTGTCAGAAGTATATTTAATCTATAAACAATATCAGAATGAGAAAATTGTTTTAATTTCTATCATTTTGATTTTCTTCAAGATTCTATGTATATTTGTTTAGAGAGCTGTGCAAGACCCTCCTGGTGTCTGGAAATGTAGAGGTGAAAAGAGGAAGAGGGAAACAATATGGCAAACTTTTCTGAGATGAATGAAGCACTGATGAAATTAATGTCTTCCTCTTATGTGCAGAGAATGAGTAACAGTGATCATGAAAACATTCTAGGCCTTGAAAAATGATACTTCAGATTGAGGCATGAAGTTTTCACAAATAAAATGTCAATCAAAGATTCCTCAGCAAGAATCAGGGTTTTAAACATATTGCAATGTTATATCGTATATTTAAAAAAATAATAATTTAATTGTTTTTATCAATAATTCTTAATAGTTTCTTGAAATATTATTTTTCCTTATTTATCATTTGTGTTTTTCATTTCCTAAAAAACAATACATCATGGTTTTACTGTAAAAAGAAAATAAAACTCCCAAATTTTCTAAATATAATATTTATTTTCTTCATCTAAAAGTATATATGTAACAGAGCAAAAAAGTCTACATTTTTATAGTTTATTCTAATTTAATTATTTTTATCCAATGTATAAAGAAAAAAACAATTTATCTATCCATTGAAACAAGTTTGAACAAATGCAATGCAATTTTTCAGCAACCATACTTTCATCTAGGAAAAGGTAAATGCCTATTTTTTGTTCAATAAATTTTATCTCCTGCATTCTACTAGATCCTCATCTATCTGATAAATGAGACTGGGGACTTGTATTGATGGACTTCATGTTGGATTAGCTGTTCATTCATGCATTTTGATGATTTGAAGGTGTAACATTTGATGTAACAGTATTGGCAGATCAGTGAATAAACAAATGTAACAAAAGTTTCTAGCACATACCAGAAACTTTTTAGAAATTTTTACCAAGCAAAATTTATGGGGGCAACTAAGCTCATTTGTATTCTCTTTCTGTCAAGCAAAACATTACTCAATAAAGATTACATGAGCATAAATTTCCTTTATGATCAATTTCCTTTCATAAAACAAAATGACCTTGTCTTGTAAATACTCCAACAAATTCAGGAATTTAACATTTTTATAATAATTGTCTTAAGATTACTGCCAATGTGATTATTCCACTAATTTTCACTTCATACATGGCATTAAGTTCTAAACTACAATTCCCCATTAAAGGTGTAAAAATTGAACATTGACTATATAGTATAATTTCATTGTAATGAATCACTCAGGCCAGCAAAAATCATTCATTATTCTGACAATCCATTATATCATGATCAACAGATTTCCCACACACCTAGGAAAATATCTGTTATTTGAAAAAATTTGTTTTTTAATTCCTACATATAAGAAATACTTACACTTGAAATTATTTAGTCTCTTGAGATCTCTATCCTTTATTCTATAGAAATATGTGTTACAGGATTGTATATTACACTGTACATGTATAAGACAAAGCTGATGGAAACTGTATATACTGTAAGCACAAAAAGAGCAAATTATGTATGTTAATTAGCACTTCACTTCAATTTGTTAGAATACTTATCTATCTTGGTTTGCCACTAATAAATACAGTAACTGCTTGATATTAGCAATGTTATGTATAGACCATTCATTTATGTTGATACTTGTTACAAAGTTTTTTACAACTTGGAAAGACTCAATGGCATTGCTAAATTTCACTACATTTGGATCAGAATCAGAACATTCACTAGGTGGCTTCTCCTCAATTGTATCAGGCTGCTAACTCTCTTCATACAATTCTTCAATTATACAGTATCTTGGATGTAACAAGTGCATCATCAAACTCTACAAATTTCCAGAAACATCCAAATATTAACTACTCAATAGATGATGCTAGAAAAAAATCCATTATTCCAAGTTACAGATTCACTAAAAGGAGGTAAAATTACATTGATTTGGTGGGATCTGAGAAAAAAAAATTCATTATTTTGCAATCTGTTAAAATGAGATTATACTATTTATCAAACAAAACTTTGGATAAAAAGCAATCAAAATTGATAATGTACCAGAAACTTTTGTCACATCCTATACATGGGACCAGAAGAGTGTTGGATTATTGGAAGTAAAGTGAATTTAGTTGTTTAATCATTAGGAAGAAAAACATTTATTTGCATGATATTAGTACATTGTATTAATTAAAAACATATATAGATTAAATATTTTTGTATTTTAAAGTTTTCAAATTAATCAAGATGATGGCTGTTGAGCAGATTGAAAACATTCATTGCAATTAATAATTCTCAGTGAGATAACCCAGCCAAAATGCATTTTAAGTATTAAAATGGTGATACCAGCCATACTTTATAGGAAGTATTCAAATTAATCATAAATCCTTTTAAAATAATTTTCAATTGTCTTTTCTCATTTTGTCATCTGAGCATGCTGCTGTTACCAGTAATCAGTGTTGGCAGGTTGGTAGATTCTCACTAAATTTAATAGATAAATTTAGTGGAAGGTGTAGTATTTTTAATGGGATGTTTTGTGAAAATGATTTTTATATCAATGTTTATACAGTATTGTGTTATAAGATATTGTACCTTTTCATGAGCAGCCTAAGATGAACTTAACAATCTTCAGCATCATGCCCAAGCTCAGGCTCAGTATCATGCCACATTTAGTGGAAAGGGGTTTAAATTTATTAGGAAATTTTAGTTGAACTACAGGGGGTCCTCATTTAATGAATATTCATTATCTGAGTCCCCATAGTTACATGGTAAAAAATTGTGGACCACCACTTAAAAATTTCCTGCACTTATGAGGTTTCCCTGGTAGATAGTAACTTCCTCTTTCATCACATGCTCTTTGTGTGCATTGATACATATCACCATACACAAGATGCATTATTGCATGTGTTTGTCATTTCAGTTCTGTCTGGTTTTTCTGTTTTGTTTTCTGATTTTCTAATCAAAATTATGTCAACAAAGAGTAGCTAAACTGATGATGCAGTTCCTAAAAGGAAATGTGCTTCGTATGGTCTAGATCAGTGTTTCCCAACATAAGGCCCACGCCTCACAGGGGGGCAATTGGATTGTTAAGTGGGGCAATTCAAAAATGGACCTATGCAGAGTTTAAGTTAACCATATAGCTGCTGTATATGTTAGGGAGGCATAAGAATTTTAGAAAGGCTTAGGTGGGCATAGTACAAAAAAGGTTGGAAAACACTGGTCTAGATGTTATAATAGACATAATTAATTTAATTGAGAGGTAGAGAATTCAATGATGTTGAAAAATTACTCAATTCTCATGGTTTGCCATTAACAAGCGAAGAGTTAGCAGAGTTAGATAAGTATACAATTGAAGAAATTAAAAACAATGATGAGGACTTGGATAAAATTTCCAATGAAAATGGAGTGTCCATTGATAGTTTACATGACACATTTGTGAAGTGTGACAAATTCATTTTAAATACTTTAGATTTGTTTTCATATGTCAAAACTCAGCAGTCAGTGAAAATGATGAAACACAACTAGGTTCTTCTAAAATTCAGTTATAAATATTTATAAATAATTTCTGATATTCAATTATATTAATTACATTTTTCATATGATTTTTTATGAATTTATGATCCCAACTTTACATAGATTCTTAAAGTGATAACTTTTAAGTGACTAGAAAGTTAGCCACATTAAATAAGGCTAACTTCTTAGTTAGCCATGTTAAACAAGGATCCTCTGTAGTATGAAGCTTATCTACGACTTTGCAATAGTGGTGGATCTGAGCAGTACTTGATCCTAGAGTTGACTAGTGTCAGAGTATTGGATATGTTAAACTAGTGAATGGCTGGATTACCAAGATTGTACTGTATTGACAATTTTGCTAAAACTATACAAATTTAGCAAATACTTGATAAATTTTATAGTACTATTTCATTGCTAATCATCATAAGAAATAAAATTAATTTCTTACCAATTACTTTTGAAAAGCACATTTTATTTGACTCATTTAATTTCAATCAAATATTCTACTGCCAGTTTTATTACAAGTATATATGTTTTTATACAATTTTTGAAACAAGCTAAGTATAAATTTCTATATTTTATTATATTTTAAGATTTATTCTAAGTATCTTTCAAAAATTTTTAAACAACTTACATTTTTAGGTATGTTACATATATTAGTACATTTATTTTGTTTAAATATCACAATAAACATTACATCAAACAAATATATTAATCTTATTTGCATTATAAGCAGATAATTACCTTATAATTAGTATTTAATGGAAAATATATTGTAATATAAATATATATTCCCTACATATCATGTTAGAATATGAAACACAAGTTAATGGAATTTTAATAAATAAAAATTTCACTTGTGATGTATTATTAATTGCAATGTAATGTAGTTTAGAAAACAGCATTTTTACAATTATATATTCATATACATACATAAATATAAGATGAATCACATTTCTAATAACATAAAACAAATAATTTCAAATGCAGTATGCAGCACAATAGCATGTTACAAAAGTTTTCTTGTCCTAAATTAGAATTACTAAATTTTAAGATAAAAATTCCTTGACTCCAAATTTTCACTTATTTTGTAAAGTTAAAATCCAAAAAGAGTAATTAGAAAATTTTAGAGTAACATTATAAATATATAAAATCAGTATTTATTTTCTGATATATTGTTTTATTATTTTCTGATGCATACAAAAATAACTAATATTTTTTTTGCAATTATCACTATATGCAGATAAGAAATGGCAATACTAGATTTATAATCTGAAAAATAATATTACTTTGTATAAATGAAAGTTTACTATAAATCTAAACACATTTCTGATTTTTATTAAAATATAAATTTTATTTATACATTACTGAATGACTACATAATTGTGGAAAAACANTTTGATAAGAGATGGCACCTATCCCCTCTCTCTAGTGACAAATTATTTAGTAATTAATTAAATATAATTGTGGAAAAATAGCCCAATGTAATTAGTGATTATTTGGCTTTAATTTCTAATTCTTCCAGAATTTTTGTCTATATGTTGTTATTTTTTTACCATAATATTCTCTTCAAAACTAATCATATAAAATGGATAGCTGGTGAAAAAGCAAGCTGTCATAACTTTGAACAGAAAATGTTTCCTATTGGCTGTTGCTTGGTGACTTCTATCCATAAGCATCCATACTGCCAAAAAATAGGAATGCTCTCTTTTGCAATTTTGATGTCTGTAAACGGGTTGTTGCTAGATAGCAGCCTATATGAATCCATTTTGCTGGACAAAATTGTGTAGTGGAAACCATCCACTGGGGGGTACTACAATACTAAAAAAGAAACATTTTATTTAAGCAAGGATATTTAAATGGGCAATGGGCAATTAAGTGAGGCTGTATACATGAGCATTATGTGAAGATTTATGGTATTTTTTGAGAAAAAAATATAATCTTGAAAAATTTACATTGTCCAGATTAAGAAAGGAATATTAACAATAATTCTTGTAACAGCTGAATTTAGCAAAACTTCACTAGAAAATATTGCTAGTTCATTCATTCAAATTACCAACAATGCAACAGACGATGTAAAAAGGAATAAAATAAATAAATAAGCCCTGGAAATGCTGTCACAAAAGAGATTGAAATTAGTTCTGATTACAAATGCTAATAGTGCTAAATATTATACATATAATATTTATATATAATAATATATATATAATATTATACATATAATATTTAGCACTATTAGCATATTATATGTATAATATTTTTATCACAAAAAATGAACTAACAACTATTCAGTCTTTGCTTTTATTTTTTATTTTTTCACGTTTTTTTTTTATATTGAAGACAGATAATATCTTCAATATAAAAAAGCTTGAAAAAATAAAATTGCCAACAATCTTGAGAATGTTCAACAAATAGCAAGTTAACTGAATAAATTTTTTTTCCATAAAGGTTAGGTTATTGAGGATAGATAGGCTATTTATATCAGAAAGAAGGAGTATTATGAGGAATGCATGATTATATCTAAAAACTATTTAAGAATAATTATAAGTAGTGATGTAACGAATATTCGGTTACTATTCGGTATTCAGCCTATTTTTCGCTATTTGGTTGAATACCGAATATTTAATCACTATTCAGCTGAATACCAAATACCTAAAAGCAGGAGTAAGAAATAACAAAAACACAGTAAATTAATCGTTTTGGTATTTATATTTAATGTTATCGGGTTAGTGTTGTTTATATTCATTTATAACTTATAATATGCACAAAATAAAAAAAATAATAATATTAGTCACAAGTATTCACAATTTATAATTACAAAGATCAGTACACGTACACACCTATTCGTTCGAGAATCATCACACATATCTGAGGGTCTGACCCTGCCTATCCTTCTTCTTAAGCACTCGTCTTTGCTCTTCCCTTTCTCTTTCCTCTATCACTTTAGTCCATGTATGCCTATGCATACATCATAATACGCTTTCATGATACTTTTGATTCGTCACTTTTCTGTCATAGAGTTCTAATTTTACAATTACGTGACTCAGCCTGGTGATAATGGAGAAAAGAGACAGATAGGACGTCGGTATAAGTCACAGTTATGATTTCACAGATTCGAGACAGCTTGGTAGCCCAAACGGCCCCAGGCTTTCGCCCGTGCATGCTAAGTGACTTTCATTACAAGCATTTAGCTTTCTGAAGTCTGTGACAACAATTGTTTGGCATTGACAGCCGCAAATTTTGCGTCAATAAGTTGCCTCCACTTGTTCGATTATGTTATAAACTCAAGTTCATATTTATTTTCACATTTTTGCTTTGTGGTTCTTCTCTGTTCTTTTTCCATTATTTACACATGTAGGTCATTTCATTGTTATCCACATTTGATATCATCATTTATCACATACTTCCATGACACTCTTGTCTGTCCGCTACAACTGCCAAGAATTAACACGATTGGCGAAGCGTAGTGACAGCGGGCCAATAGGGAGCAGGATCCTTGCCATAATGCAGTTTGCGCGCCAATTTTTGTACGTGCGTTAATCAAGCTGAATAGTTTGGCCAAATATCTATTCGGCCACACTCCTGGCTGAATATTCGGTATTCGGCCTGAGGCTACTACTGAGGATACTATTCGTTGCAACACTAATTATGTTACATAATGAAAGTTTAAAAGAAATACCTAAGATAGATAACAATAAAAGAAATTATCACTTACACAATAAGAAATAGACCTGGCAATTAGTACACTAAAAACAAAGATTTACATAGAATTAAAACAAAGTTGAAAGCAAGTGATGAATTGATATTAAAAAAAATTGTAATAAAATCTGGATATGGTCTGATGAATAATCCTATTATAATCTGTTCCTTAAAAAAGGCAATAGCAGGTTAAGAAATAATTTAAATATGATGTTTTGTTATTATTGATGATAATGAATGATAAATCTATTAAATTCTGTTGCAGCATTATTTCAACATCATTCAATAAATTAACTAAAAGTCATTTTTCCTTATAGTTACATGAATTTAGACAAAAAGTGGGATCAATGTTGCCAAGGATTACAAATCCAGAATCACAAGGAAGAACTGAATTTGAAAATTTAAGAGATCTTATAAATTATATAATTGAAGAAGATAAAGAAAAAAAGACATAAAATGCATTAAATATTATTTGTTAAAAAAATAAATATGTAAAATTAAATGAGTGAGTATAAAAATTCAGTTGTTATCTTTAAATTCATAAGTTTTCTATTTATTAATATAACATGCTACATAGCACAAAGTTATTCATTAAACAATTCCAAGTTAACTAAACATATTAAACAGAAAAATTTTTACATACAAATAAACATTTGGAAATACATTATATTGATATAATTTAAAAACTTCTTAATGCCATAAAGTATGTAGACATATCCTATATGCACCTATATCTGGCTGCTTCTTTTCCAATGAGTTTAATATTTGTTTATTTATTGTCTTGAATCAAACTTAAGCCTAAATTACCAGATTATTTCATAGGCTATATTGAAACTAATTTTTAATTAACTAAATATCTGAATTTATCTTAAAGAGGAGGGGTTAAGTTTGCATTCTTGTAAAGAGATAAAATTACATTAAAATAAAATTAAACATAATTTGTTCTAAAACCAAAGCAAATTTTCCCATAAGAAACAATATAAAATAGATTAATCCATTTCTGACCTCCAAAATAAAGCCTTATTTTTACTTTTTTAGCTGTATTTTATGCTACAAATGCAATGTAATATTGTATATAATATAATACTGTATTATATATAATAATTTTTTGTTATTTGATTTGACTTAAGCACTTTTAAAGACAAATTCTTGGATGCCATTTATATTATGTGAATGAAAATTAATGCAGTTTTTATTAATTTGGTTTAAATTCAAATGTAGCATATTGAAAAACAGTAGTAGTATCTTCCCCTATGCCTTAAAATTCAAATGTAATGCCTACATTGAATTTTAAGGCATTTATTTGTATTTCCATTTAATAAGGTACTGTACTGTACATGTCAAATAATTTCCATCATCTTTGCTTCTAAAATATAGAAATTATAGCAATTTCTCAATGCCTAGTTACTTCCACCCACCCTGTATATCCTAAAATCTTCTGTAGGAGACCATTTACATTTAATGTTGTAACCACTTAACAAGATTTCCTGTGTTATCACAGGATATACCTACATGTTGAATATTATATGATATTATCTAACCATAATAAAATTTAATCCAGTTATAGTATCTTTGGTGAAATTCTCTGGGCAATGCTATATACTTTGGTTAGTGTGTTAATAAATGTATTCATTAAATATGAATTTTTTTGAATAGATATTTGATATTTTCTGTAGATGGCCTCATTTAAGATATTTTTGATTGCTATTGATGCAAAATTTGAATTAAAATATTTTTGATGTTCTCTTTGGTGATATCATAATTTATATCATTTTTGAATGTCAATGATTATGTTCAATAATAAAATAAATTAATAATTTTCAAAATATAAGCCTATTAACTGAAATTTTCTAAATTACTTTTTAACTTTTTATACTAAAATAAATATTAATCTTGCTAACATTTGTCATTTTACAATTCTATTAATTTCAGTAAAATCAGTTCTTTATTTTTTCATTACATGAAATATGGAAAATCTTTATTTGAAGATTATGATAAATTTATGGATTGCTAAACTTGCTTAATTAATTGAATAAAAAAATTATAAAAAGAAAATTTTAAAAAAATGTAATGACTAAATTGTGATGAATATAATCTTTTAATAATAAATCATTTTACCATCTTAAATAACAATATAAGTTAAATTTTTTATTAGAATTTTCATGTGTTATAAGTTTTCCATAAATTAAATTCAAATGCAAAAATATTTTAAAATTCTTTTTTGTGTTTTAAAAAATATTTACATATTACAATATTTAGTAAGGTTAATTAATTTCATTTCTTAAGAAAATATTTTTTCAAAATATATTCATTAATTATAATTGATCTCAATCATAAACTCAATCATAAACAACAACTTTACCAGAAAACTGGAACTGTATGTGTAAAGTATTGTACCAAAATGCAAAATTTCCAGAAATGCTTAACTTCAATGTTTGAACATTTTCAACCACTATTTTATCGGCCCTCTTCAGGAAATGTAAAACAGAAAAAACCATTCTATAAATAGACTGTAATTGTCTTCTAACTTTAAAAGTTTCAAATGAGTTCAAATAAAGGCTATGATGTTTCGTATATGACATATATTTTATGAGTCTAAATAGTATTTCCAAGCATTTGGTACATGAATGGCATCCATGTTGATGCAGGTTCCACTCCTGTCTGCCCTGTAGATCTCTACCACTTCTAATATTATAATATTTTGCTGGTCAGAGTTCTTGTGTATTAGCATAGCTTGGTCCCAACAGGGAGAAATCCCCAGATTGCTGGCATAATGTGCCAGAGTCATATTAATGTTTCTTTTTTGTACATCATATTTGTGATCTATATACAATAGTATTCTGCCAAACCTATCGTCTTGTAGTGTGATCCAGTAAATCCCAGGAGCTCTTGCGTCTGCACTGTCATCCTTTGCATTAGACAGAAGGCGGAAAACATTGGGTTTCCTTTTAACGTTATGAGTATATTTAAATCTTTTGCAATCCTCCTGTATATGTGATGAAGGGACGATTCATAGTTTAGGACCACCTGATTAGATTCTGTTTTATTAATGTTGTTATTGGTGTTAGATGGCAGAGTCAGATGTTTGAATGCTAGATTGTTGATAAATGAGCGGCTGTACCCCATGGTTGGATGCAACTTGTTTCAGATGCTCTAGTTTCTTGCTGGTATCTGACATCTCCGTAGAATGTGAGTAGGCTTTTGCTACCAGTGTGTGGAACATGGATGCCTTATATGACCATGGGTCAGCTGAATTAGCCGGTATGAATATATCAGCTGAATTGACCACTCGAACATTGAAATTAAGCATTTTTTTGCTGAAAATTTTGCATTTAGGTGTGATTCTCTACTCTAAATTAGTCATATCATCAAAATACAAATCATATGATCACTTTCTATAAAAATAAAATAATTAATTTTCTATGCTGTTATTTACATTTATTTTATAATACGTTATAATTTACAATTATTTTATTAATTACTTACAAAAAATCCACACATCCAGTACCAGTTACAGGAGCCATCCAGAAAAATGAAAGTGCCTTAGAAGGATGATGCAACAAATTAGAATGAACAATAGTACACATCATATTATGTCCTTGTGCATACTGACTTGAGAGAATGGGATTTTTACTACCCAAGGAAAGAGATTTAGCTGTACTATCAGGAAGTGTATAAATCCCTGTCATCATAAATCCATCAAATGCTGAACTAGATGAAACTATCACTAAAAAAAATAATAAATTTAAAAATATATTTTTATTAATTATATGATTATCAAATAAAATCATTCAATATCACTTACACACAATTGTATATTAAAAGAATTGCAAAAACTTAATATTATATTCAAATATCCAAAAATAAACTGCTAAGTTTAGGAAAGCAAAATGTTTATTAGAAAAGAAACATTTTTAGATTAATTCAACTTCAGCTCTCCAAACAGAACTCGAATGCAACTCACATAATAAAATTAACAGTTGACATTAAAATAATTTACATTAAGTAAAAATGTTTAGAAAGTAATTGAAAAATGGAAAATATTAACCAAATTTATTTCTACAACATCCTTAAACTCTTAATGTGAAGATCCAAGATAACTCTGGAGACAATACCAACAAAAATGAGCAGGCCCCTAGATAACTTGGGCTGACAATACTGGCAGAAACACAAGAGCCAAGATCACTTGGGCAGTGCTAGATTTAATGTTACATAATGTACAGTACAGTATATGTTCAGATAAACACAGATAATGAGTAATAATAAATAACACAGATAATCTCAAGAAAATCATAATTGTATAAAATAACAGTTATCTTTCATATTTTCACTTAATTTGAATAAGTTTTATAACATGCTGTAAGCAGACTTATTGTACATATTGACATACATTATATTAATATATATGAATTCAACAATCGATTTAAATCATTGAGTACTGATGCAAAATAAGGTAAAATTATGCCTGCACTTTGAAGCAAAAATAAATATAAATATAATAGCGGATGAACCCAACGTTGCTTGGATAAAAAGTAACAATAAAAAAGATTAAGATTATGACTATTAGATTATAGCAAATCTTACCCATTTTCACTGGGTGCAAGAATTAGGTCCCCTCACTTCTGAGACTAATTAGAGAATTTTTACACAAGTCTAAAACTATGTTCAATTTTTCACAAAAACACAACAAATTGCATATAAAATAGTACAGTAGAAGCCAAGTTCTTCAGTATAATCCTTAACCCTCTTCCTCTCCCCGTGGGGGAATTTCGAAAAATCCCTTCTTAGTGTGCATTCTCATGACATACCCTAACTGTGTACCAAATTTCAACTTTCAACTCATAATGTTTGGGCTCTGCACATATTATTATCATCAACCCATCTTGATTATATTATAAGATGTTTAGTTCATTCTTGTCATATAGTCATTATTAGTCATACAAGTAAGAAGACCGTACACTGACAGCAGTCTCACAAAAACAATTATTGTGTTCAAAAGTTAGCTCTTTTCAAATATACCATTTTCTGAAATAATTTGGCAACAGTTTTTAAGTGACAGCATTGCTTCCTAATTGCTAATCAACAACAAAAAATAGGCACCAACAAAATGCTGTGCAGTACTGCTGCAAACAACAAGACAGTAAAGGGAAGAGAAGAACTGTACTATTACTTATGTGAATTGTATTGCTTTGTGTTGCACCATGCTTTGAGATTTATTGTGCTTATATTTTACATATATAACTTGAGGAAATAAACTTTGTTTTTGTTTAACTTCTTTCTTGTTTGATCTCATATGTATTAATACTACACAATTATGTTCCAATAATAATTTTTATGGATAAAATATAACTGCTTTTTTGGACAGTTTCTGTCAAGCAAGATGTGCATTATGCATGTCTTTCTTCTAGCAAAGCATTGATGTAACTTGGAGTTGGTTTGCTAGATTGAATAAGTATATACAGATTTGTACACTTATTATATAAAATTACTATCCAAGTTTGTTTAAAGTTAATGAATTCCATAGATTTATCACATGCTATTTAAATATTATTAAAATAG